TAGAGACACACCAGAATCATATTGTTATCAGAGTGTTGCACATAAACGCCATATTCCATCTCACATTTCTGAAACTTCTGCTTCCTAAAAACCGAATCAATTTTCAGATTCCAAGCTCTGGGCGCTTGCTTCAGTCCATACATAACTTTATTCAATACCATCCATTCCTGATTCTTTTTCACAAATCCAGAAGGTTGTGACACATAAACTTCTTCCTGTAATGGACTGTTCATAAATGCATACTTCACATCCAGATGCATTAAAGGCTAATTTCTATTTGCAGCTAAAGCAATCACCAGTCTGATTGTTTCATTCCTAGCTACAAGTGCAAACACCTCAAGGTAATCTAGCCCAGGTTTCTAAAGAAAGCCTCTAGCTACTAGTCTAGCTTTGTGCTTGCCAATTGAACCATCTGGCTTAAGTTTCAACTTAAAAACCCATCTGACGCTGATGGATTTTTTCTTATCTGAAAGTTTAGTCAATTTCTATGTTTTGTTCCTTTCTATCGCCCCAAGTTCTTCTTTCATGGAATTCATCCATTCTTTCTTCTTGAGAGCTTATTCAATGCCAACTGGTTCAAAATCTACTAACACGGCACAATGAATGACTTCTCCTTCAGAGTCAACTTCATTATCCTGCAACATGTCAAAATCTGTAAACCTTCTTGGTTTTTGTATGATTCTCTGTGGTCTTTGAGCTTGTTCTGAAGATGCACCAGAACTACTACCTTCAGAGTTACCACCTTCAGTGTTTTCCCTTCCAGAACTATAATCACCAGTAAATTCTGGATCATCATCAGCATCTGGATCAGAATCAGAATCATTATCAGAATCTTCTTCCGACTCATCTTCAGAATCTTCAGAATCAGATTCATCTTCTGAACTTTCTAAAACATCTTCAGAGGCTAAATTTGGTGTTGGCACTACACCAGAATCTGATTGAGACTTGTTCCAATCTCATGTTTCAGACTCTTTCACCACAACGTCTCTGCTGATTTCAACTTTATTAGTTTCTAGATAATAAAGCTTATACGCATATGTACCGTGGTACCCCACCAGCAACATTACTTTGCTTCTATCATCCAGTTTTTATCTTCTAGCTTCTGGAACATGTTTGTAACAGACAGAGCCAAACACCTTCAGATGACTGACACTCTGCTTATCTCCAGTCCATTTTTCTAAAGGAACAATTTCCTTCAGCTTCTTCGTTGGACACATGTTCAGAATATATGCTGATGTGGCAACAACTTCTCCCCATAGCACGTGAGGTAGCTTTTTCTCTTTCAGCATGCTTCTAGTCATATCAAGCAAAGTTCTGTTTCTTCTTTCAGCAAGACCGTTGTACTGAAGATTATATGGAGAAGTAACCTTATGTTCTATTCCAATCTCCTCACAGAACTTCTGGAACTTTGTAGAGTTATACTCACCTCCACCATCCGTTCTCAAAATTTTCAACTTCTGACCACTCTGCTTCTCAACCTTCACTTTGAACTTCTGGAACTCAGTAAACACTTCATTCTTGAACTTGATGAGAGTTACCCATGTCATTCTTGTGAACTCATCCACAAAAGACACAAAATATTTGTTTCCTCCAAGTGAAGGTACTGGAAATGGTCCACACACATCAGAATGTACTACTCCCAGAGCATGCTTCGCTCTGGGGGCTACTTCTGATGCAAATGGAAATCTGGGTTGCTTGCCTTTCATGTATATCTCACATGACTTCTCAGGCTTCACAATCTTCGAAATACCATGTACAAGCTTCTTAGAACATAGATACCCTAGGCTTCTATAGTTCAAATGCCCCAATCTCTTATGCCATAGCTTATTGTCTCCTTCAGCGCCTTCTGCACTAAGACACGTTGCTTCAGCTGTTTCTACATTCACTTTGAAAGTTCTGTTGCTTCCTTGTTCAGACTTCATAATCAACTTCTGATTAGAATCATACAACATCGGGAGATTGTTTTTCATAATAACTGAAAAACCTTTCTCAATCAGCTGACCCACGCTCATCAGATTGCTTCTAATACCAGGAACATACCAAACGTCTTTGATCAGAATGTCTTTCCCATTCTTCACTCTAACTCTGACATCTCTCATACCTTGTGCATTAAGATACTTATCGTCAGCATATCTGATCTTTGTTCTCCTTCTGGAGTCAAAGTCTGTCAGCCATTGTTTGTTTCCAATTAAGTGATTTGAACAACCAATGTCCATATATCACCAATCTTCTGAGCATTTTCCATCAGAATCAGAAGCCATTAGTAGCACAGGTTCATCATCAGAGTTTCTCTTAGCCATATACGCTTCTTTTGATTTCCTTTCCTTGTTTGACCTATAATCTCTGGAAAAATGGACAAATTATTTACAAGAGTAACATTGAATCTTCCTTTTGTCATACCTCTCATTTCCTTTATGATATCTCTTATCATTAGAAGTTGAGGTTTCTGACTTCTGGAATCTATCACCACGTCTATTCTGCTTCTGGTCTTTCTTGACAAAAGAAGCCTTCAGAGCTTGCTCAGCTTCCCTCTCAGAAGTTCTCTCAGACAGACGTAACTCCTGTGCTTCTAAGCTACTTTACAATTCTTCTATTCACATGGTATCCAGATCTTTATAATAAACAATAGAAACAACAATGTAATCAAACTGAAGAGTAAGCGACCTCAGAATCTTCTCTATGATTACCTGTTTAGACAGAGTTTCTCCACACGCCTTCATCTCGTTAGTGATCAAAATCACTCTGGAGATATATTCGGAAACTTTCTCACTGCTCTTCATGTTCAAGTTCTCATATTGCTTTCGCAGGGATTGAAGCTTCACTTTCTTTACTGATGCGTCACCACCGTAACATCTCACCAGTAAATCCCTCGCCCCTTTTGACGTTGTTGAATCAACAATCTTCTCGAACACACTTTCATCCACACACTGATGGATATAGAACAAAGCTTTCTGGTCCCTCTTCCTCATCAGCCTCTCAGCAGTTTTCTGTTCTTCAGTTGCATCTGCTGCAACTGGTACATAACCATCTGTAACCAGATCCAGAACATCTTGCGCACTAAACAACACACACATTTGTATCATCCATCTGTTCCAGTTTTTGCCATTAAAAACTGGGAGTTTGGTGTTCAAACTACTGCCTACACTCATTTAAAACCTTGCACAGATTTTCCAGATCTTCAAACACACTATTTCCCAACCCACATAATCAAATTTTGTTCAGATTTTTTTCAAGATTTCAACAGAAAATCAATGAACCAAAATCAAACAGACAACTCACAATCACTCGTGTTTCCCAGAAGAAAAAAAAACCAAGTGCTCTAGATACCAATTTGTTGGTGCAATGTAATGAAGTGGGAGAAGAAGAATGAACAAGAATGATAACAAGACTACTGTTGAATATCAAATAGAGGAGATAAAAAATAAGGATACAATATTGATAGCTAGCATAACATATTTATACTAAATATTGAAAATACCAAAAAATCCTATAAAAGATAAGCATTAAGAATTATAGACATTAACTAAATTATATTTCTAATAACTACGACCTTAATTCTTAAAATAACAAACCACTTAAAAAAAAACCAATGATTAATTCTTAAAGTAACAAATTAATCACTTCAAAAAACCAATGATAGCTTCTAGAATTCGAAAGTAGCTGTCCGGTTGACCGAAACAACACGCGCCGGCGTTCTAGTGTCTGGTTATGAAAAATGGTGGACCTCAGCAATGATGCATACATGTTACCTGCCTTCTAGAATACTCTTACCACAACTACAAAAATTGTCCACACCAAAAGCATAAGAAAATTGTTCTTATTTGTAGTCACTTAATTTTAATAACGGGTTTACTTTTTTTTTATTTTATCGATTTACCTTTTATATTTTAAAATTAGATTAATTTAAAAGATAAGATAAGTGTTGAAATAAAAATATTTTAAATGAGTTGAAAAGTACTCCATTAAAATACAATACAATTGCATCTCTCTATTAATGATGACAGGTGAAGGGCCCCGCGTTAAACAATGATTTAAGACCCTATGGCAATTTTTTTTTACATTTTAATTAGCTAATTATACTTTCATGCTAAAAAAAAAACATATCTTTACAGAAAATTAGTAAAAAGTATTTATTAACTAGATTCCTCTGACACATTTATAAATAATAAAAAAAATAGATTTATTAAATAATTGATATATTTAATATATAATAATGATTAAATATATTATTTATTCAATAAATTTTTTTAAAATTTTATTGTTTATAAATATATTTAAAGAATGTACCACTAAATCTAAGATTTTTTAATTTTTAATTTTAATACTATCTCTGATTTTATTTTATTTTTTATACTTATATAATAATTATATTTATTCTATATTTTGTTCAAATAAATTATTTATTTAATAAATAAATATTTTTTCTTATTATATATACAATCAGAGAGAATATTATGTTAACTTTGATATTATCTTTTAATCTCTCCATCTTAAAATTATAAAATATTTTAAGCATTTTATATTTAAAAACTTAATTATTATTTTATAAAAAAGATAAATTATATATGAATGCTCTTCATTATGTAAAGAGAAATTAAAAAAAAAAAAAAAAAAATAATAATAAATATTTAAAATTTTATAAAAAATTAATAAATATTATATTAAAATTATAAAGTGATTTACAAATTTTTTTAAAAAGCTTCTTATAATTTAAAACAGTAAGAAAAGAAAATTCATAATTCAGCTTTATTGTTTAAAGTCCAACAAAACCTTCAATGATGGTAATTCAAATCCACGTCATATTTGTGCATGGTGAATTTAACACTAACTTGATAAAAAAAATCTAACTAAGACCCAAAATTACAATAAAACTAAATAAAAAGCTAACCTTTAATATCTCTAATTTTTATCCATACACTAATAATTTTTGGTGTAATTTATATACAAATTCAGCACCAAAAAGAAAAAGTCCTATAAAAATATAAGGAGAAAAAAAAAACTCAAAGTGAAGCAATCAAGTGATCATCATCATGTTGAGCAAAAAGAGCAACATCCTCATCATATTCTTCACATTCAGATTGACAAGCCGCCCATAAGCGTTGATTATAATCTTCTATTTTAGCACAAGGTACAAAGTGGGTCCTACAAAGCGGACACGTTTTCTGATCATGATCAATCCAACGGTCCACACACGTCTTGTGAAAAATATGTTTACAATTCGTCATACACCTGATCTCTTCATCTCCGGAAAATTCATTCAGACACACCGCGCACTCCACCGATTTCGAATCTTCGGCGAGGTCTCGGAAATTAACAACGGGGAGGAATTCGCGGATGAGGGTTGCGGAGAGGGTGGGATGGTCGGAGTGTGATTCCGGTAAGACGTCGGTGGAGAAAGCGGTGTTAAGGAGGTCGGAGAGATGGAGGAGAGAGAGGAAGGAGATGGCTAGGGATCGTAGAACGGCGAGGAGAGAGAGAAGGTGAAGGAAGAGATTGGAAACGGAAACTTCAGGGTAGCTTATGGGGAATCCCATTTGTTGAAGGATTTTGATTTCTTTGAAGTTTAGAGAGAGAGTTTCTTTGTGTTTGGAGGATGAGGTGAGGTGGGAAGGATATTTATATTGTTACTGTCTTTGATGTGGGTAATGGAGAAAGACCAATTAGACTATGTGTGGTGGGGTTAAGTGGACGGTGAAATTAAAAGAAAATTGTTGAAAAGTAAACCATTTCCTTTTTTGTCGAGTAAGCAAAGTTTCTGATACGATAACAACTTGACAACTTGACAAATAAATAATAAAATAACAACTTGACAAATAAGTAATACGATAACAAAATTTAGGCAAGTGGCCAACTAACAATACTTTACTTCTTAAAGAGATTAAAAATGTAAATTCAAATTCAATTTCAAAGGGAGGACTTTTTTATAGATTTTAAAATTTAAAAAAAAAACTAATAATACTTTAATTATTTGAATAAATTATCTTCTTTGAATTATCGAAAGTTAGCATGTTTTTAAATTTATTTTTTATTTTTTAAATTAATTATTTGATTGCTTTAAAATTATTACGAGTATGTTAATTTATTTATTTTGATGGATTGATTAAAATACTTTAGAGTGATTTTCTTATAGTTTGTAATTCATGTTCTATTTGAAAAATATATTGGTGTAGATTAATGGATTGTGTGATGAGTATGATCTCAATTGTATCGTAATTTGAATGAATTACTTTCTCCCATGCTTTGCAATGGAATATATAAGTTTTTTTTTTTTACAGATAGAAACTCAACTTATATCATCTATCAATTAATGGTTCAATATAAGAAGAAATTAAATTAAAGAAATTATGTCTAATTTAAGAATTGACCACCTTAACTAAAGTGTGAGTAATTGTATTCGTTTGACGTTTATCAAAATTGATCTCAAATTTAGAGAAAGATTGTAACAGACTATGAATAAATGAAATAATAGAACTAAACTCATAAATACTATTGTTACTGGACCTAATGGCTTGAGTCACTCTTTAGGAGTCACTCTCAAAGATAACATTATCCATCTGCAGAGCTATAGCATAATGAATAGCATATTTGAGAGCCAAGGTTTCTGTTTCTGGAATTGAGCGGATACCGAAATCTCAAACTGTGTTGAAATATTAGATTAGAGTTGATTAGATTTAATATCTAAATATAATTCAAGTTGTGTAAGTCCAAACTCAATTAGGGTTGTATATAAATAGTCAGTGTATATTTTTATTTTGTACAATACAATAAAGTGAATAATAGAATACTTATTTCCTTTATTTATTCTCTCTTTCTCTCCTCACTAAAAGTGCCTCACGCACTAACAAATTGGTATCTCGAACTTCTGATTATTGTTCTTGATATAGTTTTCAAGAACTTCACGTCAAAGATCGTGTTTCTAGGACAAGTGAATCAAATGCTGCGAAGATGGCTAGTGATAAGGGCATTCTGAATTCTCTTTCAATGCTTGACGGCAAAAATTAGATCTGATGGAAAACGGATACAATCCTTGTTTGGCTTCCATGAAACCCTAAAAATGGTTACCGACGATATTCTTGTGCTGGCTGCAAATGCAACTAACAAACAGAAAAAGCCCATAACAAAGTCAAGAAGAAAGATTGCAAAGCTTCTTATTGCATTCAGACGGCGGTCGACGCTGCTAACTTCGACAAGATTTCTCATTATGAAACTATGAATGAGGCATGGCACATTCTGGTGAAGTATTACGAAGGAGGTAAAAAAGTCAAGGTTGTCAAATTACAAATCTTGCATCGACAATATGAGTTGTTATCGATGGTAGAAGACGAAAAAAATTGCAGAATATGTGTTGAAGGTTCAGAAACTTGTCCATCTCATAAAGGGTTATGGTGAAACCATAACTGATAAGATGATAGTTGAGAAGGTAATAAGAATGTTGACCTCTCACTTTGATCACGTTATCGTAGCTATTCAAGAATCCAATAATCTTGAAACCCTAAAAGTGGAAGATTTGGTTGGTTCGTTGGAGGCGCATGAGATGAAGATTGTCGAAAGGAAAGGAGTTCAGGAATCAATACAGGAATTGCAAGCCCAGTCATGGAAAAAGGACGGTGGTTCCAACTAATTCAAAGGCACGTTTGACAAGACTCAGGGCAAGAAGTCTTGGTCGAATCCCCACATGAATAAGGTCGAAGATAGAGCTTCTGAATCCTCGAAAAAGGGAGGAGGAAACTATCGAAAGGAAAAAGAAGATAAGAAAGGTATGCAATGTTATAACTATGAAAAGTGGGGTTACTTGGCTAAACATTGTTTGTACAAGAAAGACAATGGATCGACAAAAGGTAAGGACGAAGAAGTAAACCTTACACGCCAAGATTCAAATGATTCTGAAGGTGGTATGATGGTTATCATTGCAGTTGCAGATAACCATGCAGAATCAAAGATCTGGTTCCTTGACTCAGGCTGCTCGAATCACATGGCTGGTCGAAAGGAGTGGTTGGAAGATTTTGACGAGTCGAAGAAGAGCAAGGTAAAACTTGCTGATAATAGTTCGTTGCAAGCAGAAGGTATTAACAACACAATCTTTCAAATGAGTAATGGAGGGAAAGTTATGATCAAAGATATGCTCTATGTACCTGGAATAAAGTGTAACTTGATAAGTGTTGGACAACTAGTCGAAAAAGGTTTCTCAGTTGTCATGAAAGATGGAGTTTTAAAATTGTTCGACACCCAGAATAATTTGGTCTTAAAATCTCCTTTGTCAAAGAACAAGACGTTTAAGACTATGATCAGTTCGACTGAAGTACAATGTCTAAAAATTGTTTTCGACAACAAGGATAGATGGTTGTGGCATTTGAGATTTGTACATTTGAACTTTCTATCACTGAATCAGCTGATTACTCAAGATGTGGTATCTGGTATCCCAAGTCTCGAGATGCCTGACAAACTCTATGAAGGTTGTTTAGTCAGAAAGCAATCAAGAAACTCTTTTGTTTCGTTTATGCCAATAAGATCATCATGCATACTTGAAGTGGTACATTCATATGTATGTGGTCCATTCTAAGAACAAAGCATTGGTGGAAACATATATTTTGTTTTGTTTGTCGATGAGTTCAGTCAAAATGGTTGATCTATGTGATGCAGAGAATGAATGAAGTATTTGAAATTTTTAAGAGATTAAAGATACTTGTTGAAAACTGAGTGATAAGAGGATCAAAGTTATGCGAACAGATGGAGATGGAAAATACGCATCCAAGATGTTTGAAGATTTCTGTACAGAACATGGTGTCGATTATGAGGTAATCGCTTCTTATACGCCTCAGCATAATGGAATTGCATAAAAAGAAACATAACCATATTGGATATGGCGAGATGTATGCTAAAGCAGAAAAATTTGCCAAAAAATTTATGGGGTGAAGTTGTTTCAACTGTGGTTTATATTTTGAACAAGTGCTCTACCAAGACATTAAAGAACAAGGTTCCTGAAGAAGTATGGAGTGGAAAATGACCATCAGTGAGTCATTTTAAGGTGTTTGGCTCTATGTGTTACAAGCATGTTCCTGATGCGAGAAGAAGAAAGCTTGATGACAAGAGTGAACCTATGACTCTGGTAGGATATCATAAAACTGGTGCATACAGGCTATTCAATCCAGTTAATGAGAAGATTGTGTTGATTCGAGACATTGTGATTGATGAAAATTATGTCTGGGATTGGAATTATACTGATGCAATTAACAAGCCATTGATGAGATATGGTTTTGACGAAGACACTGATGAAGTCAAAGTCGAAGAAATTGTTAATCTTCCACTCGAAGTTGAATTAGTTACTGACTTTCCTGACAATATCAAAGTCGAAGATGGTGTGGTTGAAACAAGCCAAAGACCTTAAAAAATAGAGTTCTTCCAACAATACTTCATGATTATGAAGTGGTGGGTGATGATGAAGTCACACCAGATGGATAATTAGTTAATTTTGCTTTAATTGCAGGTGTTGAACCAATCAACCATAAGGAAGCTTTGAAGATTAAACAGTGGAAGTTATCTATGGTGAAAGAGTTACAGGAAATTGAAGGAAACAATACATGGGAGTTAGTCTAATTGCAAGAAAATACAAAAGCTATTGAAGTGAATTGGGTGTTCAAGTTGAAACACAATGCTGATGGATCGAAAGCAAGACATAAAGCAATATTAGTAGCTCGAGAGTTTCTTCAACGAGAAGGACTCGACTACTCTGAAGTATTTGCTCTAGTAGCAAGATTGGAGATTGTTCGACTAGTGGTAGCATTGACATGTAACCAAGGCTGGTCGACATTTCATTTAGATGTGAAATCAGCATTTTGAATGGTCCTTTAGACGAAGAGGTCTATGTCACACAACCTCCATGGTTTGTGATTCAGAAGGAAGCGAGTAAAGTACATAAGTTAAACAAAGCACTCTATGGCCTTAAGCAGGCACCTAGGGTATGGAATAAGAAGATCGACTCATACTTAGTCGAATTGGGATTTGTAAAATGGAAGTTTGAGTATGGTGTCTATGTTCATATTGTAGCACAAGATATAACAATAATCTTCTTGTATATTGATAAGCGCAAAATTTTAGTTATTTTGTATATACTTTTTGTTGTACTTATCTACTTTTTAATTGTTAATATTGTTGAACAATTCCCTGGTAACAGCGCGATTTTGTTGAAAGCGGTGCAGCGGCAAGCAACAAAAGTTTTGGAAATATTTATCCAGGAATTTATCGTGTCCACAGAGATTTATCAATGGCGCTGCTGTCGGGGATTGGTTCTATTGTCTTCGCATTGCGATAATTCTTTTGTTTTTGAGTTTTGTAAATGTATATGTTGTATAGAAATTGTACATTAACTTGTATATGATATTTGTGCATATATATGTTTTCACGTATTGTTGTGAATTGCCTTGTTTTCGTAACGTTTATTGTGTGATTGTTAGGACACTTTCTTTAGGTTTGTGCGGTGTGACAATACCATGGCATGATGAGAGGAGGTTACTAGCTTGCACAATAAAGGTGTCGA